AGCGGAGAGTTTAAGAAATCAACATTCCTGCTCATGACCTCCTACAGCAGAGACATGTTATAAAGTTCAATTAGACACTGTTAAACAATCAAGAAAAGGGGAAGGAAACAGAGTTCAGGTCATTTATAGGAACTGCAAGTGTACAAACAAAGGATGCTCAGAAATTATAATGCACAATGTCTAAGGCGAAGAAGGCTTCAGACTTTTAAGGATGGAGGTGCTAGAGGTAAGATTTACTGGATAGGAGTCCCCAAGTCTGGATAATACCAGAGCAACTCTCTCCTGGAATAAGGCAATTTCCAACAATCCATAAAACTGGTTACTACTTTACAGAATTTTAAGATTCATTCCTTTTTTTTTTTTCCCAACGGAAACCAATGGAAAAACTATTCATTTTACAAGAATTCACCCTTCAACTCTGCTAGGTGTCTAAAGTGAAAAAAGACTTGTAAATAACTCATTAGATTCTTGAGATTTTTTCGCCATCATAATTAGCTTTGATATGTTCAGCAATGCATAGCAATTTCCTCAATAAAATTATTTTCATGAATTTATTGCTTATTTCAGAAAAAATTATCAATTCATATATCATATTTTATAAATTGCTTTTTATGCCACATGTTTTCTTGTTAATTCTTTTTTTGTAATGTTCTTGATTTGAAATAATTTAAACTCAATGTTATTATTCTGAAATAGAAAATGTTAACTAAAATTTTTAAGGGAGATTTAGTAGACTACACTGGTCTAAAACAAATCCTCTGATGTTTGTTAAAATAGTTTGTATGGGTAAGGGCATTTCCTATTTGGGGAATTACTTTTTTTTTGTTTGTTTTTGCTTTTTGGTGAGACAATCAGGGTTAAGTGACTTGCCCAGGGTCACACAGTTAGTTAAGTGTGAAGTGTCTGAGGCCACATTTAAACTCAGGTCCTCTGACTCCAAGGCTAGAATTCTATGCACTGCAACCACCTAGCTGCCCCATGGGGAATTATTTTTTTAATGCCACATAATGTTCATGATTACAGCACACTCAGTGTTACTAAATATAACAAATTAATTTTCAAAATGAATTTTATTATTCAGAGGTAGCTAGGTGGCACAATGGATAGAGTACTGGGCCTGGAGTCAGGAACACCTACATTCAAATCTGGCTTCAGACACTTAGCAGTTTTGTGACCCTGGGCAAGTCACTTAACCTCAGTTTCCTTAGTTTCCTCGACTGTAAAACAGGGAAAATAATAGCACCTAACTTACAGGGTTGTCATAAGGGTCAAAAGAGATAATATTTATAAAGCACTTAAGTAGACAGTTTCTGGCGCATAGTAGGTGCTATAAAAATGTTTATTCCCTTTCTTTCCCTTACTTCCCTAACCCCAAATGGCATAGTGGACAGGGCATCCCCTTGAAAGTTAGGACAAGTTGAGACTGAAGTTTTGCCTGTGGCTCATGGAGGCTGCGTGATCATAGATGGGTCACAATCTCTCAGTGTACCAGACAACCCTCAAAATCTTTCATTTACAGACATAGTGCAGTTCTGCATTGGTAGAGGGAATTTCCAAAACAAATGTTCCCCACAACAATGAAATCATAAAAGTGGACCACAAAGCCAAACTGAACCATATTTTATAGTCTGTCAAACTGAATATCTTAATCTCAATTTACCAAATTGATTCTAAGATTAGAAGAAAACCTTGAGAGGCAATGGCAAGATGGAGAGCAAGCCGTCCATAAGGCCAGGGAGGCCTTGGGTTCAAGGCTTGGCTCTGACACACTGACTGTATGTAGCTCTGAGACTCTACAGCTGCAGAGAAGGTGCAAGGCTACATGAGCCAAGGTTATTTCCTCATCTGGCATTCCCTGGACAAGTGTAATCATGGGTCTCTGCCCCACTCTCCTCACCCTCCCAAATAAAAACCTTCCCAATTTGATTAAAAAGGTAATAAGAATTAAAAACAAAGATAAGAACTACGTGGCCTGTGTATTAAGCCTTTTATCTTCACAGGCAGTACCGAGATCAACCTTGCCATAACACAACACTAATACGAAAGATAATAATATATTCCATTACCGATCATAATACGTGGTTGGGAACTTCAACCAACAAGGATACTGGTTGTATACATATGTCAAAGTTCAAAAACAGAGCATGTTATAAATATTTAATGTGTGAGCTGTCCTGACTTCTGTACAGCTTGTACTCATTAAATATTCCTGGAAGATGAATGCTGGCTGAAATACACTTTGAAGTCACTCTCTCTTTTGCGGCAGATATGTGTTAGAAACCATTATAGTCCTTAAGCATTAGGCAAAGTGAGGGTCCCCGCTCTAACTTAGCAAAGACAGAACAGTCTAACTAATGAAATAACTACATCACCTGTCAAGCCAGGCAAAAGTACTTTTCTGGGTCCTATCTATTCAGTCACTTCCACTGCCCACTCCTGAAGCTCCCCAGCCATAGGGAAGGGTATTACACCAGATATCCTGCCCTATTAATGCCAACAGTTAGCCTCAGAAAAGTATAAAAGGAAAGCAATAAGTCTAACAGGATTCTATTATCTTGATAGAGCTTCCCATCAATACTATCACTAAGACATAAAATGGACCATTGGCAACAACTATGGAACAGATAGCTGAAAGTAAGCAATTTTGAGAAACAAAATTATTAGCATGTTGGTTATAACATGTAGGTTTGTGGCTTTTTCCTAAGTGATGGAATATTTTTTTTCTACCTCTAGAAGTATGTTTCTTTAATGAAAATATATATATTCATTAAATTAATAATATAATGAATATGAGCCTGACTTTCTATTTAAAATGAGGAGGGCACAAGCATCTCAAACTCTTAGCAGGAGAAAAATCTTGATTGTCTGCTTACCTACTTATTCTCTGTTCAAGAACTGATAGACTTAGCCATTCTAGCTACCCTGAAAAGTACTCCTGTCCCTTCCCAAAAACTATAATTAGGACCATGGTCTTGCCCTAAGTTAAACTGTTTAGTTTCTTTCTAGAAACCAATCTCTCTCTTATTTTATCACTTCTTTCCCAGAGTACAGAGTGCCTAAGTGGGAGGAAAGTCAGTCAATGCTTCTAGGACTCCCTGCCACATTCTCTCAGTTAGGTCTCCTTATCTCCAGGAAGCACAGCATCCTCAAATACCTAACATAACTAGCTCTTTGCTAGTATATCTGATGAATTAACACTTGCTATGGCACTATAGGACCCTAATTTTCCCATTGCATTTTGGAAAGGGACTGACAGTAGTGATTTTAATAGTTAGAATCTTAGGCATTAAGTAATAGGCCAACTACAGAGCTGTTTTCTAGACCTTTTAGCACCCCTGAAATAGTATACTTAACAATTGGCCATTTTATTTGTGCATAATACAGGTTTTGCTTCTGGTTGGACCGAATGATGATGGCCAAGAAAAAGTCCATTTTACAAACTGATTTCATCATATGAAAATCTTGGTTCTATCAGGATATAGCTGGGGCTATTATAATAGAAATGCCCAAGTCACACATCTAAGCCCAATTTTAGGATGGATTTCCATTATTATAAATATCATTTCAATTAATGATCAGAGATCAGTCTTCATTCCAGGGGACTAGAACTGAAGTATCAATGTTCAAGATATCTGAATAAGTAAAAGAATGGAAAGAAATAATGCTATTTATTGGTATTGGTTATTAATATAAAAGTATTAGTTTTGTATTAATGGTATTAATATGGATGGTATTAATATAAAAGCTTGATCAAGATGACATCAATACATAACATATAACTACTTTTTCATTTCTATACAATTATGAGAATGACATATGCATAGATTAAGGTTATCTCTCAAAAAATATATATATATGGAAACAAGCCAGGTTTTAACAAGTTATAGCAGATCATGTCTTCGCAGTCAAACAACTAAATGAAAGGTGTACAGAACCCTAAATCTTGCTGTGTCTTTTGATTATAAAAAGGATTTGCCTTGGCTCAATAAAATCCAACCTTAAAGGCTCTCTTCCTACTGATCAAGTTAATATCAGATTTTATGATAAATGCAATTACAGAGATAACTTGGTTCAATAAGCCTCTGATCATGAACATCAAGCAAGGCACAAAACAGGCATTCTTAGTGCAAAGTTCTCCAAATGCTCACACTTTCAGATGGTACTGTGTCTAAGAGCCACACGTTAGATGGCACAGTGAGGACTAGACCCCAGGGCTCCTACCTCCGAATCCAAGGCACTTTTTGCTTCCTGGGTTTTCAGAACATGTGATGGAATCTAAGAACAGAGGCTTCCAAGATGAACATTAAGTACAAGAACACTTCAGATAAAGGGGACATTATAAATACTAGCAACTTAGAGTAATTGGCTGACTCCCTGTAGGTCACAGACTACACTGAACTGAAGACTACTGATGGACTTTAAGGGGAGTCCCCTCATCAATAACTACAGCAATGACCCAAGATCAAAAACAAACAATGCTGTTAAAATCATGTGTTGACTGTGCAACCAAGTTAAATGACTTGCAGAAATAGTAGTAAAGTAGGAAGAAGTTACTAAGATTGCCCTATATGCTGTTTCAAATATCCACCTTCACAGTGTTGAAGCAAGTTGGAAAAAGCTAAGTGTTTTAAAATTGCCTACGTGACTTTACTGCAATTGCTAGGGAATTTTAAACAGCGCATGCATCTGCTCACACTCCAAAGGTTGACTGAGAATGACCAAGCCCGGCAGTAATTTAGGATACACAAAAACATTCTGGGCAAAGGAACAAGGTTCCTTCTAAAAATTTTAATGAGGAAAACAAAAAAAAAAACCCTAATTGAGAAAAATATCTAATACCACTACCAGTAACCAAGTTTTAAAACCTTGAATCTTCCTCCCAGGAAAGTGACCCTTTTTTATGCAGCTGAAAAATACTAACCCAAAGCTGAAAAGAAAAAATACAGTAAAGGGAGTAAAAAGAATGAATGGGTTGGAAGTGGTGTGAATTCTGTACTTACGCAGTCGTAGTCTGCATTTCATGCCAGCCTTTGCTAAAATTCTGTTTCAACTCATTCATCAGATTCATGCCGAGTTTTTGTTTTATTTCCACCAGATGCTTTTCTTTGGCTGTTAACACTTGTCGTAAAGTTGTGATTTCGTCTTCTAGCTAGATACAAGATAGGAAAATTTGAAAAAAAAAAAAAAGGAAAATGAGACCTTCTAAAAACCATCTTAATGAATACAAACACAGAATGAATTATCATGCAGTTCCAAGGGACGACATATGTTATTCTAGTTCTGGGCATTTTAACTCTGTGTTTGGCCCCACTTGAAATATACTATACAAATAACTGTATCCTCATTAGAAACCAGAAGGAATAATTAGAATTACAAATCACCAAGTTGGAAGTGACTTTAGAGGTCATCTAATCAAATATACCAAACATGAATCAGATCTAAAATATCCCAAGCAAGTTATCACCAAGCCTCTGCTTAAAGGCCAGGATAGCCCACTTCATTTTTGTACAGCTCTAATTATTTGGAAAATTATCTTTATATTAAGTTGAAGATCCTGCACTTAAGGTTCTTCAGATATGGAGATCTGAGTTCAAATACTGCCTCAGACACTTAGTTGTTTGACTACAGCTAAATCACTTAACATCTTTCTCTGCCTCATTTTCCTTGTCTGTAAAATGGGAATAATAGCATCTACCTCACAAGATTATTATGAGGATCAAATAACATATGTGACATGAAATTATATATCAAATATGAAATAACAAATGAAATGACATACCTATATACTTATACATAGAGTAGCTGGTAGTACAATGTAAAGAGTGCTGGACTTGGAGTCAGGAAAACCTAAGCTCAAACACATTTACTATCTGTGGCAAATCACTTAACCTCTGTTTGCCTTGGCTTCCTCAACTGTAAAATGGGGATGATAATCGCACCTACCTCACAGGGTTGTTGTGAGGCTCAAATGAGGTAATATTTGTGAAAAAATACTTGGCACAGTGCCTAGAACATAGTAGGCCCTATATAGATGCTTGCTGACATTCCTTCCTGAACACACTCTGGAAACCTATAAGCATTACTTAAATTCTAGCTACTGTCATCATTAGTCCATGGTAACCGACTACATTACTCATCTACTTCTAATGACAAAGTTCTTGCCAAGTCCAACTTGAATGTTTCAAGTTATGATTTACATCCAACTTCTCTTTTTTATTCTAAGTGGAGACTATAATTCCTCATACTGCCATTACCAATTTCCATTGCTTACGGATGCTTATTAGGATACTTAAATCAACACATGAATAAGAAAACGATGCTAGTGTGATACAGGGCCTAGATTTCAGTTTCCCATACTTTCTCAGGACATGTAAAATTGTGTGTGCCATACGATTTCATTAAGAAAAGAAACAATAGTGCTATAAGAAATGATGAATAGGCTGACTTTAGAAAAACCTAGAAAGACTTGTATGGTCTGATGCTGAATGAAATGAGCAGAACCAAGAGAACGTTGCACACAATAACAGCCACGTTGTGCGATGACTAATATCGATAAACTTAACCCTTCCCAGCAATACAAGGATCGAAGACATCTCCAAAGGTCTCGTGATGGAAAATGCTATCCACATCCAAAGAAAGATCTATGGAGTCTGAATGCAGATCGAAGTATACTATTTGCCATTTTTTTTTTCTTCTGTTGATTTCTGTTTCCTCTTTCTGGTGGTTCCTCCTATTGGCGCTAATTCTTACTTATAACATCACTAACATGAAAATATGTTTAATAGGAATGTATACGTATAGCCTGTATCAGATTGAGTGCTGTCTTGGGGAAGGAGGTGGGGAGGAGGAAGGAAAAAAAATTTTAAACCGAAAAGCATATGGAAGTGATTGTTGATAAATCAAAATAAATTAAAAAAAGAAAAGAAACAATAAAGCTTCGATGTCTGCATCAGTCTTGTCAATACAAAGTTGATTTGTTCAAGGATATCTGTATCCAGTCCAGACTGGCTCCAGTGGCTCAAAGCATTAAGATAGCTATTGGTGACATAATGGCATTATTTTAAGAAAAGAACTCTCTGGTATATAATATAGAAAGGTTATCTCAATTATACTATGGTATGACCTGTGTATTATTTTAGTGATCCTTTGAGAAAGCAGTTCCCTTTTTAAGTAATAGATTTTCTTAGAGGCTACTGAATGTTAATTTCTTTATTTAATAGGCTTCTCCAGCATAGAAATTTTTTGTATCCTATACTATTAAAGAGGATACAAGCATAACAATAGTTAATAGAGTCAAGAGATCTCATTCTGTCAATTTGACTGAAGACCAAAAACATTACCTTGGATCAAAGATTCACCTAAAAGCCACTTACAGTGTACTAATAGTGAAAGGTGACATCCACTTGTTGAGGTAAGATCCCTAAGGTTAACCCTTTCTGCTTTGGTGGTATGGGTTGGTGTTTTTCTTAACCAAAATCCTACTCTGATGCCTTACTATGATGTGAATGTGACCATGGGTTCTCTAAAGCAAGGAGCACAGGATCTTTTTTTTTTTAAAAAACATTTTGATCAATGTATTTCAACACAACCGATCTCCTTTGTAATCCTATGTATTTTTATTTTATATATTTTAAAAGATTATTTTGAGAAGAGGTCCATAGGCTTCATCAGACTGCCAAAGCAATCCACAACAGAAAAAAGGCACATGCTCTAGAAGGTGCCACAATTCTGAAAAGGCTTAGATCATGACCTTAGAAATCAAGCCTATTTTTCCTACTATGCAAAGATTGGCCCAGCTGAGTGAAGAGAAACTCAATACCAGGTTAGATAATTTAGGAGCCTCAGAAACTTTTGGAAGACTGCCTACAAAGAAAGTATGGAAGAGAAGAAGGATTAAGCTGCATACCAAACTGAAGATATATAGAGCCAATACACTGACTTCATTGTTATATGCCTGTAAAACTTGGACAGTCTATCAGCACCTTGCCAGAAAATTCAATCACTTCCATTTGAATTGTCTTAGGAAAAGTCTGAAGATTACCTAGCAAGATAAGGTACCAGATACTGAGAGGCCCTCTCTCCAGCTGAACTACAAAGCATTCAAGCTCTACTGCAGAAAGCACAACTCTGAAAGGCTATTTTACAAATAACTTGCAAAAGGCAAGAACTCACATAGTCAAAAGACATGGTACAAAGATTCCCTCAAGGTTTCCCTGAAGAACTTTAGTATCAATTGTGAGGCATGGAAAATGCTGGCACAGGACTGCCTAGCATGGTGTGTCTGCATCAAAGAAGACGCTATGCTCTATGAGCAAAGCTGAATCGCAAAAGTACAAAGGAAACATTAGATGAAGAAAACTAGAGACATCTCTATTGCAAATGTTCAAATGGACTTTGTGTGCTTGATCTGTGGTACAGCCTTCTGAGCTCTTAATTGGAAAGATCAGCCACAGTTGAACACCTGCACCTGGACCCAACATTGTGATGTTATTGGATCTCTTTGAGTACAGAGGACAAATAACAAAATTATAGTTCCCTACAGTTTTAATTTATTCTTTGCCCATAACATATATAATATTTAACTATAAATAATGACTGTCCTTTTACTAGTTTTGTGGGGGAAGGTGCAGTATGAACCTGTGTAACTCCCAGCACAGATACTCTCTCCAACAATGAAGTTATCGATAATTTACTGTCTTTTTTAAAGAGTTGCCTGGGGTGTTGAATGGTTAAGTGATATATGTTCATGATCATAACAAGAATATGTGTCGGAGGCAGGATTTAAAACCAGCTCTTCCTAATTATATGCGTAAGACCCCTCTGCCTTAACAAATACATGAGAACTCAATTTAAAACATCCAACTAGGTGTTATCCCTTTTAAATGGGACACCTTGGGAGGCTACATACTTATTTTGATGATGGCTATTCTTCCTCAAAATTACATTCTTCAAAGTTAGTTTAAATCATCAAATTCACTCCTCCTATAAAAATATCTTATCAGCCATTTAATTCACCAGACAGGGTTCCGAATGACATTCAGTTGTTACCACAAAGAAAATCCATCCTCTGAGGTTGGTGCTTTTACCTGGATCTCTGGAAGAATGAGTATCAGGCTCTGAAGGTTATCCCAAAAAAGTAAGTCTAAAAATGCTCTGAGCAATAGCAGTGTCACTAAAACATTTGTATACAGAATCCCAAGAGGATTGCTTTTAAGGGAACAACAATTAGATGCTTAAAGTTATTATTTCAATTTTAAAATTAAAATCATTTTAAAGTCTCCAACGCTTGAGGATTGTTTGATTCCATTACAATTAGGGTTCTCACGAATGCAAACTAGTTATTCTAAGGCATGATTTAGCACGGGAAAAGAACTTGAAAGTGAAGGGGGAAAACCTATAGGTTGGAAAAACAATTCAAAGCATATGCTGCACTGATGGTAGAACAAAGCTTTATCTCCAGATACATGGGATATTCTGATTTTTTTTGTAGTCAGGACCTGTGTTTCGATCAGTATGAAATATGCCTGATATGGAAAATTCCACCACCAATGTAAATTGGCAGCTCATCTATATTTCATACTCTTAGGGGCACTGGAATAGAAGATTAAGTACCTTACTCATAGCCAGACAGCTGGCATTTTGGTGTCAGAAACTGAGCTTGAATAAAGATCTTCCTGACTTCAAATAACACCTGTATGATACTGTTCTCATGTGTATAATGAGGGGGTTTAACTAAATTGCCTCTGAGGTCCCTTTCCACTCTTCTGATCTATGATCCTATCAATACTATGTCATTTTGGCTCTCCAAAACAATATTATTAGTTTAAGAGAATCAGGTCACTTTTCTGGCACATGTCTGCTTCTGAGAAAAGCAACTGTTGAGCTAGGTTTGCCTTGACAATTCATTTATTTTATGGCATAGGTCTGTTCAGAGTCCTAAGAAAAACAGTTATGGAAGTTAAGTCTGACTCAGAGTTCTGAGAAAGCAGCTGTTCATTTGAATGGATAAGCTGTAAAATATGAGAGCAAATGGAGAGCACAGTATGCTTCAGTGATCTGTATATGACTAACTAAAGAAATACAGAACTTTGAAATACAGAAATACAAAACTAAAGAAATACATAAAATAAAGACACCAGAACCATTTAT